CATAGGGGGCATCATCCCTCCCATTGGCATCATGCTAAAAAAGACATCAAAGAAATACACTTAGGTTTGAGTTGCGTGACATCTGTGCAATTATTCAACTTAAGTAATAAGCCATGGTAACTTGGAAAATTAAACTTAATAAGCCAATAATTAACCTTTATATGCCAAACTATTTACATGTATTTCTAGTCATTTCAAATGAGTCTGATAAATTTCAGCAAACAAAACAATTTGTAAAACAAAAAGTATCTTACCCCGGCGGCATTCCATGCATTGCTGGAGGCATTCCATGCATCATAGGCGGAACACCTGGCATCATTGGAGGCATCCCTTTAGATAACATCAGAAAATGTGATAAGTCCAATATACATATTTCTTTTTCATATTTATTTGGGAGACATTGTTCATAAGGGTGCAAGTCAAAGCTTATTTAACAATTCCTCTCTGGAGAGATATTTCTTATTCTAAAAAGTGAAGTTTGGTACTTGCCTTGATATCCTCCCGGAGGCATTCCAGGTGTACCAGCCACAGGAGGAACTCCAGGCTGGGCCATTGGTGCAGTGTACCCTGCCTGGGGTTGAACAACACTACTTTGTGGCACAGATGGTCCTGCTTCATCATCGTCATCATCATCATCAGAATCATCCTGGTTATTCTTCTTCTTTTGACTCTCTGCAAAAGCATGTGTGACAGTTGTGACAAGCTCTAATTTTAATATAAAAAACAATTAAATCAAGAACTATAAAATAATTTCATATAAAAAAATTGCTCTGGCTCAGAGGCTGTGTACAGATGTACAAACCTTGTGATTTCTGTTCTAACGTTCGCCTACGTTCCTGCATGTCTTTCTCTGGAATTCCCTCCATGCCATAGATTTCCAGTTCAATATCTGTCCTTCCGGGAATGGCATTTGGTACACTGTCAATCGTCTCTTTGTGCACCTGAAACACATGCAAAGTGAACAGGTCTCTCATTCAGTGCCTTTCCAGTTTTAAGTTGATCAATTATGGAAGCATTTTGTAACAAAAAAACCCCAAAAGAACACAAAAATCGTACAAAGAACACAAACCTGCATGCAGTGAATGGCCAGGCCTGGCCCAGTGTACAACTTTTTATGACAAATGTGGCATTTGAAATGCTTGGCCTTTTGGTGCTGGATGAGGATCTTTTCGTCATCGAAGTCTCGATTACAATACCTTCAGGAAATGGTTAAGGATTGTGCCAATATAATAAATGCGCACACCAAAAAAAGAAAGTCGTTCGATCATTTAAAAAAAAGTTGCTTATATTATGATTTCCTGGGTAAGTTAAAATTAATGACATCAAAAACACGTTTAACGTTAATTTGCAATAAGTCATCCACAAAACAGAAATGAATTTCAGTAACCAACTAACCCGATCAAACGAATCACACACGCTCGAGTGAAGCTTCTGTTGACTGGTAGCGGATTAGCTGTTGCTAACATATTAGCGGGGTTCGGAGATATATTTAACTTCTATTCAAAATGTTTTTACCAACCATTTCTTTTACCTACACAAACAATACATGTAAGCGAAGCAAAATCACACCAGTAATGGGATTTTTCAACATCCCAAGACCAAGTCTTCGGCTAAAATTCCGTTCAAATCGAGGCTAACGAATCCGCTAGCCCGGGCCTTTTCTTTGTCCAGCTAAAGCATTGGCAGCTTTAAGCGTGTTTTGTCGTCGAGTAAAAAGGATACCAACACCATGGTTTCATCTGCTTCTTCTTTTTCCGTCCCATCTTCTATGAATACTAGGTTGGTTTTGGTATCCCTTTAAACAACAGTGTTATTATCTGTTCAACCGTAGCATGCTGTCGTTACACGACGACGCCGAAAATGGAGCTCTTCTGGTGAAGGAAGTAAAGCGAGAGAGCGGTACTGAAGTCTCGCGATGACAACAGACAAACGTCATATGTCTTACGTGCGTTTGTGTGTGAAAGTTAGGACGTATTTTCACATGTACATTTTTTTTATTGAATTAGCCTAGGGTTTCTCGGTAGTCCTGATTTTCAGCGACATACCACATAATTATTTAAAAATTAATAATCCTTTATTGTCATTATGTTGAAACATAACGACAAACTATTGACTTCATACCCTATCTGCTACGTGTGTGCATTTCAGACCACCCACAGTAAGGTCGGTTGGAGCAACGTGCTCTATATTGAGTCAACACAGAGCACAACATTGTTTTTAGCCAAAGTATACGCTTAAACGAAACTGCTCCCCATTCCATGTAGGTAGGGTTAATATATAGTAACAATACACGTATTGTCCACTAAGGGGCGACAACGTTACAGTAATAGTAACCTGCATCCTCTCTTAGCTTTGTTTTGCTTAGCCACATTTTTGTTTATCTATTTTTAACTGATCATAGAATAATTCATGTTCAAGAGATTATAATCACTTAAAGGCTATAGTAATGTTATCAGCCAGGATGAAATTAATTTTTATTTATGGCCACATTGCACTTTGGTTGATTCCTAATTTCTATATTTTATTATGTATCATATACAACATGACGACAAATGTTCCCTCTGTACAAACAATAACAGTATGTCTTATTTAGAACATTTTATTTTAAATAAATATATTTTTAGATGAACAGATTTATATGAAAGGATTTATTGTAACACTGAACATCATTAATGTATTTTCAGCATGCTACTGTTTACATTTGGTCCTTTTGTCATTTTGACTTCACAACACATTTAGACTTTTCAGACATGATTGGTTTTTTCTCTGGCAGCGTCATTTGTCCCCATATCCCAACCGAGATCAATGGTTATCTCCATCTGTTACTGGAGACTTATAAACGAACAACACAACAAAGATAGATCTAGTTGGATGCCTAAATAGAATTTCACTGCTGCTCTTTACAAGCTTTCAATGGCTTTAAAAAATATTCTTTGTAGATTATTTTTTTTATTGAAACATCATAGTTGTTACAAAATTAAGGTTCCAAACAGAGACTTGGTTTTCCCTCCAATTCTAGGTACTGATTCTATTTTTAAACACGGGGTGTAATGCATTAAATTAATCAACCCTGTTCACAAATCCAAACCTGCTAATACTGGCCACATTCCAATGTGCACTACAGAAATTATTCTTCCTGGATAGTTAATATTCATGCATATTTGTGTGTGTGAACTGAGATAAAGTCCCAAAAAGAGTTACTACCATACAGACGACCATACAATGGGTTTAAAAACCACAGTATATTTCCCAAAAAGAGTTACTACCATACAGACTGGGTTTAAAAACCACAGTATATAATATTATATTATAAGCACCATTATATGCTAATTCTGACAAACATACAAAAAATTACAAGTTTGTTTTCTGTATAAAAGAGTTTAATGCAGTCCTGTATGTACATATCAAATCTACAAAATAAGCATATTGTTAAAATATTGTCAGTGTTTTATCTGTCACTCTTTTCATGTCGTAGCCCTTGTTATGTACAGTCCCAGACCCTCTCTATTATCAAGTGTTTTGTTTTTTTTTAAATAGAATACATACAGAATAGAGCTAACGTATCACAGGACAAATTGCCTAAACAACCCATACAACATACCAATCATAGCAATTAGTAAAAGTAAAATCAACGGCAAATGCATGTTAAAATATGAATGTGTATTCAATCACATTTTTATATCGCCTGTGCATAGAGGGAGCCAGACGCACGTGAGGGGAAGGTCGTGCACTCTTTTGAGACTTAAAGCTCAGGGCCGGGGTCCCCTTCTATCTCGGTTCAATCAATTAGCAGTTTACAAAGTGACAGGAACTAATGATGGAGCATTGATTTGCTTCTTTCACCCCACTGCCTCCATAATTGACAGTTAAAGTTTAGCCCAGGTTCTTGAATCCAGGCATGTGTTTTTCTTTTTTTTTTTACGTCATACTCTACCTGTTGCTAATCAACTAAACACCAGTAACTTCAACTGGCCAGGAGTTCATTTGTTTGATCCTATTTAAATGTTCAACGCTAGCTGAAAATTTGAGTCGTTCGCTCCGTAGTGGTTGCAGAAATGTCATTTCAGAGGTCACAAAACACGGGCGCGTGACACACGAAAAATACCGACCCTTCTTACACAAAAAGCAATAGTTGACTGAAAGTGAATGTGTTCTTTTCCTTGGTACTGGTTGAAATATTTTGGCATCGTAGTCGAAAGCTTGAAGAATGATTGGCACTTATGCTTCACACACACAATCTAAAGATAAAAGACAAACCATTAGTTTTAATGCGCAGTGGACACAAACACTTCTATGGGGGGGAGAGCCTGATGTTGAAGGCAACACTGAATAGTGATCGACACTCATTTTTAAAGGAGAATTAACAACACCTTGAAAAAAATCATCATTTTTAAAGGAGAATTAACAACACCAAAAAATCTAAAATTAAATTTAAATATGTTTACGCACCCTGTTTATCAGTATATTCCTAACACAGATATACCTCATTAGCTGCTTCTAACGGTCAGTAAACCCCAGCTGAGCCTAAATACTCACATGACCTGACTTGTCCCTTTCTAATGAAGAGGTCAGAAGAAGTTATCTGGTCTTTTCGGTGATTTTTTTTTCCTGCTATCTCCTTCCAAGAGAGGCATTTGTGCAGAAATGCTTTCATCATGTGGACGTCTCCATGAGTAGGCACTGTTGGACTGAAGACAAGGAGGCAGAGAAGGTCAAGCCATGCAGACAGACAGGTCTCCTGCCAGGTTCTGTTGTGCTGGATCCATTTGTCGACACAGTGTTGTCAACACAAGTCTCACTGGCTGATTATATGCAGGCAAACATCCAACAGATGAAAAAAAAATTGGAGGTTAATCTGAATGTGAGTTTGAGAGAAAGTTTTTCCCACTGTAGATGTCCCCACATCAGAGCACTGTGTGCAGAAGTTAGTGGGCTGTTAGGCACTCAACAGAAAATGAATATCATAGTACGGGGAGATGGCACCGTTCAACCACATGGACGAGGTCCAATATCTTCTGTTGATCTCGTAGGCAGGTCACGGCGGGGGAGGCAGCCGCACATCAAGCAGGTTGTAGGCGAAAACGTTCCAGAAGACGGCGCAGAGCACAAACAAGGTGTAGACACAGAAAAAGATCCAAAACAGGGACTGTTCTTGGAGTCGTTGCTCATAATTCTGCAGGACCACTACGCCCAGGGTGAGACCAACCACCACCCCACCAAGGTGAGCTACAAAGCTGGGGTTAGGACATGGAGGAAAGGCCGGTGGGTAGAACCGTAACCACACAGCTCGACCGAACTCCACACTCACTGGAAAAGGCATGAAGAGAAAAAACAAAATAACTTATTACCATATTTGATCAACAGTGGTCTGCGACGCCTACTTCAATAATGTGAGTTACTTTTAGTGTTTTAATAAAAATACCAAATGCTTTGAGCGCATTGTTAATTAACTGTAATAACAAGCAGTTATTAATATTATATGGATAATAATCAGTTTTGTTTTTCAACCAAATACATGAACAATAAACATTGATCAAGGCATGAAAATGGTTATAAATAAGCTAAAAGATCAATATGGATTAAAGCATTGTCATGAAAACCAATAAATAAAAATAACTGATTAAGTGGTAGTTCAGACTTACTGCACACCAAAGCCATGGCCATCCGGAACAATTTAAACTGGCACTTCATTCCAGACCAGTTCTACAAACAAAGAGAGAAGATGAAGAATCAGGGGAACATTTTCCAGATTTGATGAAAACTACTGTACAAACGCAGCATAAATGTCAGTTCTACGCTGCTGTGACACGACCTGATCTTCTGCCTGTTGTCTTAACTCAGTTACTGATGAGATTTAAATTGCAAGGCTAAAAGATTGAAGACGTACGACTCTGTGCGCATCCACAAATGTCATCAAGTATCAGGCTGTGCTCACATCGACCCGGTTCCAACACCCTGACAGCAGACTCGCCCTGAGCGTTGTTTGTGAAACGTGTTTACGTTAGAGAACGATTAAACAGTGTGTGCACAAATGTCAAAGAACGGCAAAAACAGCGTGCACGTGCTCACACGGGCGTCTGATCTTTTTGGTTCTGGGGGAGAGAGGATGTGGTGATGGCAAGGAATGTATGGTATCTGTAGATAGAGACACACCTGCTGGGACCTAAAAGAACTTCTTTGATCACTTGGAAATGTACTGACAGAATCAAAGAGTGATGTGTTAATCACACAGATACACACATACAAGCATAAATGTAAATAAGACTTTTTGACATTTATGGGAGACCAGGGGGAGGGGGAGCACATTTGCTTAGAGCAGAGGTTTTAGGTTTTTTTTCAGGGTAGGTCACAAAGTTTTTTTTTGAAGGACTTCTATTTTTAAATGTCTTTTTTTAACCTATAGCTACGTATGCATTGTTTTTGTCTAACTGTTAGCAATGTCTTTGCCAACTTTGACCTACTGTATCTTTCGGGCAGATTTATAATTAACCTTTAGCTATTCCCAAAGTATGAATTAGCTATTTGTCTACTTTTGGGCAAGGGCACATATATTTGAGGTATTGTTCTTTGCTAAATTTTTAGCTAACATTTAACTATCTGTATCACCTTTTTTTTTAAGGGCCAACAGAAAGTAATTATTGGAAAAATGTTAACATTAACACTGACCTTAAAAAAAAGACCTGTTCTAAACAAACTTCTTTTTAGATTATAATCTCTATTTTGATATATTGGTGGAACATGTTAAATCTAGACCAAACATACCATGACAACATTAGCTAGGTGCGCTGAGACCAGGGCGTACACTCCGCCTGATGACCCGACCACTGGAGCTGTCATGTCTGTGATGGACGCAGCCAAAGAACCTGCAGTGAGAACAAAATACTATTCATTAGTATATACACAAAATGGGTTTTAATTGACGAGCTGATGGAAACGTTATTATTAATTATTAATCATTCAAACCTTCAAATCAGACAGGGCATCAGAGAGATGGGATTATCAAAGAAAAAGGAGAGAATTACGTTTCTGGGTCTTGACCTTTGACCTTTGAGCTGTGATTTTAATTTGGGTTTCAGGCTTTTTGTTTTACAATATTTTAGCGGTTCATTTCCCATGATTTCTTCATAGTGTTGACATGATCTTTATTTCCTGTTTTTCTCCCTTGTGCATCGGCTGCTCTGGCCTGATGTGTTTCACCTGTGTCTCATTAGCAGCTCTCGCTCCATTTTGCTATGAGCGTGTATTTATAGCTGGTGGAATTAAAAAAAGGAAAGGACAGTGATGTAGACTATAAACTAAAGAAGGATTTTTCAAAATCATGTATAATGACAGAATTTAAAGTTTGCCATCAATAAACATTTGTCTATTCTTATCTCCTTTTGCAAATCGTAATCCATTACTAGGCTAAACAACAAGTTGTCGATGATCGGCATAAATAATCTAAAGCTCAATGATTGGACGTTGTGTGTTTTTGATGCACATTCATTCCTGCAAAAACGGTAAATGAATGTTTATTTTATGTGATAAATGACCATTTGTTCTTTAGGAACATCCAGTTTTTTTAAGGATAAAGATGACTTTGCTTCTCGATTGGAAATGACTGCTCTATTTATAGCTCTGTGTAAACTGAGCCTTGCTCATACTGTACCAACACACATGCTGTGATTTCATGTAAAACAAATGCATTCACACAAACCCAGCTGCCACTTACTGGGGAGTGTTGTTTCTGGTACCATGGTGCTAATTCAAGACATGCATAAAAGATCCGGGCGAGTCAAGCAAGGAAAATAAAATAAAAACAGGAGCACTCAAGGAGAGCAGAGGGAAACTGTCTCCACTCCAGCTCTCATAGAAGGAACAGAGAACAGAAGTCTTCATTTGGCTGATTAAATTTCCCAGACCAATATTCTGTCCCTCCCATTCCTCTTCTCCATTTGTCTTTTTCCTTGACTCTCATTCTGTATGTGGACTTGGTTTGTTCTTCACATACATCTTTCGATCCCCTTCACAACACTAACTACTGTAAATAATTAATTAAGTATAATTCCCTGCCCACGCTGCATTGTTGCAAACTGGAGAGAGATGTGGAAATATATTCTCCGAGGTGGATTTATCCTTTTGCATAATTTTGATCTGTCTCTATGGAGTTTTTTTCTCAGGTGGATTTATCCTTTTGCATAATTTCGATTTTCTGTCTCTATGGAGTATTTTTCTTTTTGCAAAAAATAAAAAAATAAAAAAAATAAAAATTATATATATCTGAAGTTTGAAAAATAATTAGCATAACACATACTTCCACCACGTGAGATAAATGTATTTGCGACCTTCGCACAATGATTTCCTGCACCGGGGTCATACCTTTTGCACACACACACACACACACACACACACACAGTGATTTAAGGCACGTCCACTGCTGTAGATCTTTCTACAGGAAGTGTGTCTCAGCAGGGTGACCCGGGTCCCTGTAATTACCTTGCTTTAATAACATTATCTTTTATGTCTGCGAGTGTTTGTTTAGCACAGAGGCTACACACAGACAAGGACACAGCCGCCGCTCTCTGAACAGGCCCCTGGAGGCCTGTAGTTTTCACATTCTCCAGTGTCGTTTCATTTATTATCGCTGCTTTCCCAGCTTTAGAGGAAGAAAAAGGGACATTAGAGGAAAAACTGTGATGTAAACCAGTGTTTATTACCAAGACAGAATATTACCAAGTATTTTACTGGAAGTTTTATTTATGTCTGTCTCTCGCTCTCTCTATTGGTCTCTCTTAGTCATGTGGCAGTGGCCAAGGATTTTCAGACCAAGGACCCCCAAACTGATGGACAGATGGAGCAGGGACCTCTTAACTACATACAATATATTGTATAAATTATATTCTGTATAATAAACTGGGCCTTGTACTATGTATACACGGTATAATTTACTCAGTTTTAAATAATAATCATTTATATTTTACGACCCCACTGCAGTACCTTAATGGAACCCCTAGGAGGCATGGAGCCCCTGTTAAAGACCTCCACCATATGGCGACTGTGTTGGTCCTTTAGCTTAATCGTCCATGTCTGTTCTTCTCCTTCAGCCTCAGCCTGTAACTGCTGCCGTTTCTGTTTTAGCTCCTTGTCGTTGCGGCTACGAACACGTCTGTCGTTCAGAAGAGAGAGCGTCTTTAAACGTGTTTACTTTCAAGTCCCATTGTTACCATTGAAGTGTCACTGTCTGTGGACCTGAGAGGGTCGCTGACCTCCCTGTGAGTAATTACATGACCCTGAACTTCACACTGACCCCTGTATGTGCCAGCTGAGCCCTTCGCTGTTCGCCGTGGCTGGTCACGTATCATCGTCCAGAAGAACAAAGCGGTGAAATGAATCTGTGTTTGGTCTCATGACAGATCATGTCCGTCGACTACCACTGGTGGAAAAGGCCCTCGTTACACTGACCGGCAAAATCCAGCAGTGGATTCTTCGTCTATTTGTAAAATTGCTTTAATTTGATTGTTCAGTGATTCAAAAAAAAAAAAAAGGATGAGAGTCACACACAGTAAACCCAGGAACCAAAGCCAAAACAACCAGAAGATAGTTCCGTTCCTCCACTGAGAGTCGATATTCAATTAAAACAACTGACTGCAGGCGTGTGTGTGTGAGTGGGTGTGTGTGAGTGGGTGTGTGCGTGGGTGCGTGCCCTCACATCCGTGCGTGTGGTTTATGGTACATTTTTGTCCTCACTTCGCTGTGAGGTTGATGCTGTAGGCCACTGCGTCTGGTGACCCCTGCTGCTATCTCCCCCTCTCTCACCCTCTCTCTCTTTCTTTTTCACACACACAATCTTATACACACACATAGACTCACTCACGATGACATCATTTAAATATAATTTGTAAAAACGCAATAGACGTAATAATGAATAAATTCTTCTCTGTGCCGTATATATCCTGCAATCAAAAAAAAAAACAAATGTTGTGCTGAATGATTTTCTGTTGGTGTGTGATGAAAAACAGGAACGAAAGAGAGCAGTGACGTTTGTTACACACCTGGTTATGGACATTTGTACGTTCTCCGTCTCCAGCCCTGCTCCCCTCGGCCCTCTTTGTACAATTTTCTCATATTTTGTGTGTGTGTTTTCCTGGTTGTATTCTCACTAAGGTTGTGCTCAAGTTTTGGACATCAACATCCATATCCATTAACTCACACATGGGTCACTAAATTTCATGACTTTTATCATCGTACAAAGTAGAATTTTTTTTTTTGTCTTTTGTGAATTATAAATTATAATAATTGTATATCTGTATGTAGGGAGGGGACGTATGTGTGTGTGTTTGGTTTGTGAGTGTCCATGTGTGTGTGAACACCTACCTGCCAGCACGCCGCACACATAGACCAGTCCGATCCTCAGTGCTCCGTGGACCATTTCTAGAGGGACACCCACCAGTAGCTGCATGGCCATGTTCAAACCCAGGTGTTCAATACTGCAACACACACACACACAAATATTTGCCTGAATCGCCTTCTGAGCTGCAGCAAAACTCTCCGTCAGATTAAATTCACACTATCATTTTTACAGCTACTTCCCTCGGGGACCAAATCATTTCAGTATGTTCTGGTTCAATCAATAGACATTAAACCTCCCGTCTCCTCCCGTGATCTCTCCATTCATGCTTTGGGTTTTATCTTTTCACCACACCCTGTCATCACAGATACTGCCTCTGCCCAGAACCCCATCATTAAATTACCTTTTTATTAGTACTTACTATTTCCTGAAACTACATTTACCCAGAAGGGTAATGAAATCAGGACGTCCTGATCTGAGCTGATAATAAATAGACTAAGGAGAGGAGAGGTGGCTGTTCTGGAGTGCAACATTTCCCACCCCCTCCACCTGTCAGTAGCTGTGTCTGTTTCAAAGACCCCCGACCTTTATGTTGAGACATAAAAAAACTCACCCTGTGTGCATGAAACTGTAGCTGAGGAACCTCCAGGCCTGGGCCCTCAGCTGAGGGTGGTAGGGGAAGGGGCTCTTTAAGAACTGCGGGCTGGACACCTGCAGGACAAACCGGTCCAGCTGGAAACCGTAGTACATGAACACGGCTATCTGTGATAGAGACGACAGAGGGACAAGAAGATGAAGTGAGGGACGTCATGAGGAATAACAAACTGCGGGCTGGACACCTGCAGGACAAACCGGTCCAGCTGGAAACCGTAGTACATGAACACGGCTATCTGTGATAGAGACGACAGAGGGACAAGAAGATGAAGTGAGGGACGTCATGAGGAATAACATACAGAAGACAGAACATTTAAAAAAAAGAAAGGAAACAGCAGGCTCACTGCAGCAAAAGAAACCAAAATAAAACAGAAATCTGCCAACTCCTAGACTAAATACAGGGATTATGGTGAAGATCAAAGCAGACAATGATTTTATTTTATTCCAAACTGACTTTAACATCAGTAATAAAAAGCTTACCTCAGCAATAGTTATTGCCAGGATGAGCAGCGGTGGGGGGCAGTAGGTGTAGCTGTCAAAGTACCATTTCCGGTCGATCTCTCGGGGCAGCGTCTCGTAGGCGACGTGTCGGACCAGGCGCTGAGAGAGTCCCAGACCGACTTCATCTCGGAGACTGCAGCCTCTGAGCTGCCTGCTGCCCTGCAGGATGGCCCTGCGAAAACTGTTGGAACGCTTGCTGCTCATCTGGAGATGACAGATGAAGGAGAGGGAGAGGGGACAAGGATGGAAGGGAGGAAGCACAAGCATGTCACCTTCAGTTCTCTCTTTAATCTTATTTGGAGATTTTAACATCAATCTGCAATATTTCTGTAAATGAGTGACAGTATTTAAAGAAAAATCTAAAATCCTTGGTTGTTTACATTTATCAAGGGTTATTTTAGTTGTCAGCACTGTAGTATTTAAAGAAAAATCTAAAATCCTTTGTTGTTTACATTTATCGAGGGTTATTTTAGTTGTCAGCACTGTCGAGCACAGGCCACACACAGACCCAGCCTTTCTCCTCACTGCAGCACACTCACAGCACACCCCCCCCCCCCCCCCCCCCCCCCCCCCACCCTCCCCCTCCCCCACCCCTACCCCCAACCCCATCCCCAACCCTCACCCCAAACCCTAACCCTAACCCTAACCCTAACCCTAACCCTAACCCTAACCTAACCCTAACCCTAACCCTAACCCTAACCCTAACCCTAACC